TTTACTTTACTGCTATTTCGTGATTTCTTCTTCTTCGGCTTTCTAATGAAAGGAGATAAATTTAACAGGACGATCAGACTGCTCAAAACCACGTTGAAAGATAGCAAGTTTACAAACAAAATGAAGAGGAAGAATTGGTTCCCGTTCTTTAACATTCTACTGGACAGAAAGCCTGATAGGACTCTTGAAGCCGAAAAGAGACACAGTGTTCAAGTACTCAAATACATTAGTATTCATCTATTATGTAGAGACCTTACGTTAAATCTTAACACATCATCGTTCCTACGTCGAATTTCTTTTAGCATCATGCGTATTAGCACTTGAAAATTAGGATCAAATGAATTGTGCATTTTTCACAGCCGAGTCGTTCATTCTCCACCTGAAATGCGCGTTTTATATTTCAAGGCAGTTTTATCTCATCGCATACGGCTGCACGATTTTCTGTCGAAATCAGTCATCGCCCATCACTGCACTATGCATTGGGTCCCGGGGAATTAGGCGCTCAGGTTGGGGGCGAGATTGTGCGGGTGTGGAAACTTGTACACCATGGATTTTAGAACCGATTAATGCGCTCTACCGTGCCACTGAGCGGTGCGCACCACACATTGCAAACAATCACGAAGAGATGTTCATATTACATGCATTTCATTAGAACATTCGGTTGATTTGTTTGCACTACAAGTGACGTATCAAAATTCCAGACATTTTACCGCCTTACTTGTTTAGGAAAGTTTGGTTCCCAATTATAGTGGTCATTATTAATAATTGTCATAGAATATTATAACTGCATGGACGGTCTGTAGTGTAACACTGCATCCATGTTATTAATCCAAATTGCATATAAACTGATGTAGTTGTGCACAAACGCCTGTGGTAGAATACCTCTGCCACGTTTCAGATGAATGTAGTAGTCTGTTGGTGAGAAAAACAGTGTGGTCAAGGGTGTTTGTCCAGTTTTGTCACATGTTCCTCAAGAATGTGATAACCGGTCGTTGAAAAGTCTTCCGCACCTTATGAATTTTGTCTTATATCTGGCCAACAGACAATTTCAAGCTATATCACTGCAGCCAAATCACATACTTCCTGGCGCTCAAGACTCCCTCAAGCATGCGGGATTGAGAATATTTAAATATCTTCAAACATACTCGCTTACGTTTATGACAGGCTCTTTGAGATAACCAAATAGCAAGTAGTTGAGACGGAATATTTTCGGCTTGGCTCATGTATGTGGCCGACTGAATGGGTGGGAATATCATGTCATGTGTGGTAGCCGACAGGTGTGTAATCTGGTTGCCTAGAGTGCTACCATTTTCGCATTTCACTTGACCGGTTTCTTGAAATCTCACTGAAAAGAAGAAACTACCATTGCCCTTACTTAGTTCAGGATAATTCGTCGATTCGGAAGTGCAGCAAATGTAATTAAGCGAAAGTGTTCCATCTCCAGTTGGGGATTAAATTCTACGGCGTCAACTATGATAAACTGCATGTTAGCCCTAGTTGGAGGGGTGCATCGGTGATACTCCGCAAAGGTGCACATCCTAATCGATGTCCATCATTGTAGGAAATTTCTCAGTAACATATAAGGGAAAATCTGCGCGCTCGGCTGTTTTATTATTATATAAATCAATGAATGAATTAAAATAATGTTGTTTGGTGCAGAGACTTATAAACAGGCAAGGCGTCTGCGCGTTACAGTTGACCAATGGGTTTGTATAGGTACGTAAAGTGAGTGAGTGCATCCCTTATCAGTTGGTTGTTGATACATGCGCCGAGCTTAGCAAGCATCTGAATGCAATGCGTGCTTCGTCATGAGTGATCGCGTCAGCTGAATCCAGCCCGTTTGTCCGTTCTCTAAAAAGAATTACGGGAGTTGGCAAAAACCAAAAGGAATGTTGTAAACTAGTCGTGTATTTGGTAATTCAAAGCAAGTTTTTATGCCGAGGACAGCATAGGGCTTTCGCAAGTTTTCTTCTCGATGAGAAAAAAATATCCTTATTGCGTATTTAGTTGCATACTTTCTCTTTGCCCGCTTGCGTTTGTAGAAAATTTAAATTCTATCTGATATTTTCCAACAAGATCACCTCCTTGTGTGAAGGCGTTTCCTTTAATTTATTAGTCCGCTATTGATTTACTTGCAATGTGATTTCCGTTAAGTCAATTTTCCAATTTGATACCTACTATGTTCAGTGGACTCCTCTTCTACTTTGACTGGCTTCATTCCTTATGTGAATCGCGTTTCCGCTTGACTTTATCGAGGGCAATTGACTGACACAACCACACTTATTTCTCTTTTGTTTTAACTGACCTCATTGCGTCCGCCGATTAATTTGCTAATTTGGCTTATTTACTGGAGATGACTGGCACTACGAATGATATACGACTTTGGGTTTGAAACGAGTGCCCCTTTAGGGGTTTTGGTCTGGTTCAGACCGTAGTCCATGCATTTTCTTGCTCTCTGCGGTTGAGAAATATAGTATCTTCCATTATGCTATTGGTAGCCTAGTTTGTGTAGCGAACATATGAAGGTCCCTCCAGTCAAACCCACCTCCTTTCTGCTTATTGTGCGAAAAGTTGAGGCAGAATTGAACATGTGACTATGTAGGAAGCTTCTCGCTCGTTTGATGCGGGCCTTGCATGGGATCGCGTTTTCTTCATTGAATCAAATTTCCTTTACGGGTCGTATATTGCCTTGTGCAGCGTCATTGTAGGACTATAAGTCGCCATCCTGTGCTGCCTTGGGCGCTTCCGTGTCATTTCAGAAGGCTTCCCGTTATGTGTATTTGTGACCGATTTCGCTCCATTTTGTACCGTAGATTAGTCGAATTGCGATTTTTGAGCAATCTTCGGAACAATTTTTTTCGATGGTTAGTTGTTGAAAACTGGCAATGCCATTTCAAATGAGATTTGATTTTTTCTATTGAAACGTGCAGAAATTATCACGGCCTATCTTCGCATTCACAGGTAATTATTTGTTTGGTAGCAACTGTAATTGTGATCGTGAAGAAAACACAGTTGATATTTTAGTGGACACATTTTTTGACATGCACGCTGAATATCCTGGATGGTATGAAAAGAAAATTCGTGATACAGAACTGAAGTGCTGTAGAAAGGAACTCACAACTAAACGTCGAACAAAGTTTCCGACCTTATCTCTGAGAACTTACTTGAAGAAACTACACTACTTAGTTCATAACGTATTTCTACTGGTTGTTTAATTTCGCAGCGCCGACTAAACGGATAGCAAACCAGGTGGAATGACTCATTGGCTGAACTCATGTTTTTAAAATCAAGCACAATTGTCACTCTGTGATTGGAAAAACCATTGTGCAATCGACTGCAAAAGCGATGAAAACCGTGGATGTCCCCCATATTGTCTAAACCCACCTCAATATCTCAAATTGACGTTTTTGCGCACATAACAACGACCTGATGTTAAAGCAAACAGGGTTGTAAAATACTAACAAAATGAAATGCCGGGTGTAGTTAGGTTTGGTGCTGGATCCAGTTTGCTCATGTGTTCCCGCCTTCACGCGTTCGACCAACCTTCTAGTGTTGTAGATAAGCCTCACTCCCTGCGCGGATGAGGCATGCGCCGTGTTCGGGGGTAGAATGGCCAATATTAATATCACTTTGCTTGCACATAATTCCTATATCCTCACAATTTTTACCCGCCAATGTTTCTGAGCATTTAACAGGAACCTGAGTCGTTGGAAGTTTTCATTAAAGCGCATGTTGTGAATTTCGCTTGGTTGAAGTGCCACCTAAGAAAACTGAGCGCTTTACTAGGTAATCGCGTTGCTTCAAAGAGGGGTTTCCGATAAAGAACTAAAAAACTTTCGCACCACGCACTTGTTTACCTACACGGAGTGGAATTTTACTCTGGATGAGGTACCTCGTGGCTTCACTATTTCATATTATTTTGAAAAAAGAAACCAGAGATCTTTATTCCCATTTGTTGCGATAATGACTCGTCATTTTTGTGTTACCACGTGTAGCGGTTAATTTCCCGATTATTGCATGTTCGAAAAAACGTCGCAAGAATTGCAATTCTAATTCCCATATCCCTTGTTCGTTCTATGGACTGTGGAGGAGAGACATTTTGTTTAGCGGCTTTATCCTTGTGATCTGCACCCAGTTGGATCTACGGTTAAGGAAATGCGGCCTAACGAGACACAGCTTAAAACTGGCAGTTAAATATATCCTGTATGTGTCGCAGTATACTAACGAGCAGAACGCCAATAGGGAGACAGGCGCTAGGGAAGCGCGTGTTAAGTCTGTTAATTTTGGACGCAACATAGACCTCATACGTTAAAACCCACATGCGGCCTAACGAGACACAGCTTAAAACTGGCAGTTAAATATATCCTGTATGTGTCGCAGTATACTAACGAGCAGAACGCCAATAGGGAGACAGGCGCTAGGGAAGCGCGTGTTAAGTCTGTTAATTTTGGACGCAACATAGACCTCATACGTTTGCTGAAAACCCACAAACAGCTCACCGGCGGTATCGTCCAACTAAATTCCTTGGCTTAAGACTTTGTGTGACTTTCGGTGTAACACACTTAAATCAACCACAAGCGTACTGAAGCCATCGATTTACATCGTGAGAAGGTAAACAGCTTCTCAACAATATCAAATATCGGTTCATCTACTGCCAACACATACATTTTCTCTTTGATTTTAGAATACGGAAATCCGAATCATTGTCTCACATGAACAAAGTCAATAGGACGCCAGGTACTACGGGAAACCCGAATGCGGACTCCGTTTGCTATTCACTACTGTCTGAAGCGTATGGGCGCTTAACGAAATAAGTCGTTTTTCCTACAAAACTCCATAAATTACTCATGCGCACACAGTGTTGGAAGTAAGTTTGCGCAAATGAGCAGTTATTGAACAAGGTGAGCAAAACGGCAAAATCATATCCAGGTTTGGTTAAACTTTGTATCACAGACCTATGAAATGCCTGGTGGACAGTTTTTCTCACGCTATCGCCATACATGAGTGGGGCAAAGTGCAATTCACACGAGGCGCATAGTATAAATTCCAGGCATATGAAGCTTCAAGTAAACCTGAAGATGATGCGCCGTTGTTCGCTTCTTATTGCGTTCTTGTTCTGCACCAATCACCTTCTTTGGTTGGACGCTGTCGGTGTCCACAATTGGTCATCCTTATTTAACAACAATCCGTCAAAGAACTGGGTTGTTCTTGTGGCTGGTACCAATACATGGGAAAATTATCGACATCAAGTAGGTTTCCGTTGGTTTTTCACTGTTTTGAGGCTAAAGGATTCATCGAAATTCCGCGAGAATGGTTTTCAAAGTGGAAATGTGAAATAACGTTACCTCAGTCAGCTGTGTCCCACCTGGTTCCCTCCATGGCTGACATTTTACTCGAGAAGGCGGTGCATAGAAGCCACGACTAATGGATACACTAATGGACACACATTTCGTAGCTTTTGTTGCTTCTCGTCCGTATTTCCATGTCTTGCAGATATATTTTGCTTTGGGTGGTTCGATTCACCGGTTATTACTAATGTGCATACCGTGATTCACGTTAGTAGGAAACCGACGTCGTTAAGTTGGGTGAAATCACTGACTATGAGTGACAGGTTTACTTCGCACTAACACAAGAATATTCCCACGGCCCCCACGTTGACAGAGCCACTACTAATCATTTTCCATTTCTTAGGAGCTTCATTGTGTTACCGATGTGCTTTCAGACTCCGCAGTACCTTAGCCTCAGTTGACCTGATGAACCAACCAGGTGTCAGAAATCTCAAAAAATCCACTAACGTAGCAACGACATTAGTTGTTACCGCGAATAGATCTATTCTATCGCTAGTCGGTGTGAGCAAATAATTGTACACTACTTGGTACGATGAAGACATGCGACTTTGTTTAAAAAAAATGGAACGCTAGTTTGATGAAATTTGTTCGTCCATTCCTGACTGATTTGCATGTGAGTCGCATGGAAAATGTCCTACGTTTCGAATGTGTCTGTACTCAATCCTGAGATTCAATTAGCGACATTTTATTGCCGCTATGTTTCGCCGCAAACTTATTATTTGACCAGTGAAGAAATTAGCGACATTTTATTGCCGCTATGTTTCACCGCAAACTTATTATTTGACCAGTGAAGATACGGACGAGATTATCTGATGTGTTATTATCGAATTCAACGGATGGCAAAATTGTGGAGGTCCTGTACGCCCCTCGTTGTTTCGACTGGAAGCTGTGTGCCACACAACTCATTCCTGATTGGAATCCTGCTTCCTGGTCATGGAACTGTCTTTAGTGCTCATGAATTGATGTAATTAGGTTCAGGAATCATTCAGCTTACAACGCAAACCGCGCCGAAATAATTGAAAATAGCAACACCTGCCTCCGGATAATGCAAATGACAGCGCGCTGAAACACACATGTGGTGCAGTTCAGCAACCGTATTGAAAATTTAAATCCTCTTTATAAAGAAAGTGATGGCAAACCCAGTGCAAAAACATGCTGTGCAACTTGTTTCGGAGCGCATGCAAGATACCGTGACAGATAAACTGATGTGAGGTCAAAGCTTTGGTAACCGAATTGACCGCAGATGTTGCCGCTGACGACAAGGAACTATATGGATATCTCTAGAACCAGGATGAGGAATTTGAAAATACCGAATATGCGAAAGAAAAGCAAGCAAGGCCTTTTTTTGATTACATGCCCTGTGGTATAGAGCAGACAACGCCATCGGTTTGATGACACCACTTGAATAAGATGCAACATGATATTATTTTTGAGCGTGCAATTTATTCTAGAAGCCAGGCTGTGATGCTACCACGGTAACGGGGAAATTCCTTCATCTCGAAGTCGTTTGTTAACAAGCATCAACTGAACAGCCATGAACTATTGAACAGGAAAGTGAGCATCTCACTTGCGCTCAATATTTCAAATCCCATCATTCTCAGAATTTGTCTTCAGCTTTCAAACGTATCCACAAGTTTCTTAACAAACTTCACCTTCCATAAAAGGCTTGAGCTTGGAAAGACAGAAGGCTGTTCGCATTTGTCATCGGTAGTATGCGCCTGTACATCGGGACACCCGGACATAGAAGGGAGGCCATTTAGTGTCCGATATTAGGGAATTCATCCCGAAAGCCCATTTACACTTGCACATTCCCGAATTGGTGGTGGATTGTGCAGGCATTCAGAGGAGCCTAAATACTTAAACCGAATTCACATGGGGTACGTCAAACCCCAACCCGGAAGAGTTCTACAAATAGACCAACCTGGTATGGGAGGGTCTGTGAGTGCCCCACATACACTGCTCAGTGGGCAATTGAGACGTACAAACCGTAAGGACTGTGACGTTCACTTTTCCTCTCTCTGTCACACCCAGATACGATAGATTTTTGGTTCGAAAATACTGGTAACGAGCGAACAGGAACAATCTACGGGGTTCTTTCAGGGGTTGTTTTCATCTAGAATGGTTTTACGCGAAAAAACTGCAAGGGTGTTATCCATGGTCATTATGATGAACTTAGTTGGAGAGGAAATGATCAACCTTGTTCACCTAGTCACTGAGCATCAAGGGCGGATCCATTCGAGAAAGCCTTCCGAAAAAACACACTCATACAACGGATGAAAATGATTGAGACACCGGAAATGTACCTGTTTATTTATTTTCAGAGCCAAAGCGGACATTTTTTGAGTCCTTAAACTGACTGATAAAAACTCATAAAGACAATCTGAACAAGTGTTTCTATACAACTTGGTAAGCGTGTATTTGGAATCAACATGTGGACCGCCATTTTGATCAAAGTCGTTCGTCCACTGAAGCATCATTTACTCGGGGTTTTTTGAGGATCGTATTGAAGATGGTACACATAATGGGTTCGTCTCTATCCATTCTTAGGATTCAGTATGTAATATTTTATTGCCACTGAGTTTCGCCGCAATGTGACTATTTATGTTGTACACAAGCGGTCGATAGCTTTGGACGTATTTTCAAAACCATGAGATACCACGATTGTACAGCTACGTTGCACAGGTCCTGACACTTGACAGAATGCGGAACTGTGTTCCATACAAACACTTCCAGACTAGAATCATGCTCCACCTTCTTGGGATAACTGATACACCACCAAGTAGGATTATCCTACACAACCTACTTGACTTCTTTGTCCTCCTTGCCTCATTCTGCCAGTTTTCCTTAATGAACGTGTCATTTGTGTTCTCATTCAGGCTGACGTTTTCGACGCGTATCATGTCGTGCGTAAAAATAACGTTCCAGCGGAGAATATAATTACCTTCGCCTACGACGATATTGCAAACAATCCCAGGTAAACATCATTTAAAGGTTTTCCTATTCGATAACAACTGCAATGTTCAAAACGTATTTCGATGTTTGACTTTAGAACGTCTCATTGTTGAGCCATATTTCTCGCAGATTTGGATCATGGATAAAATTTGGTTGCAGATGATCATGAATTTGTGTGCATCTCGTGAGTTGTGTAATCAATTTTCTCTTCGTTCATGACTTTTCATGACTGCAAACGTCAACGAACTCCGATACAATCAGCACAATTGATGTCAGGTCAAATTGCAGCCATCGTGGTACATCCCCGATGAGGATGATGTCCTCGTTTAATTTTTCAGTAGTGTGAAATTGATCGTGTTTAGTTCGTCGTTTGGGCGAATCAGCCGGCTGATTGTTTCGGGCGAATATGAAGCAGAAAATCTAGCAAGGTTAATGATTTGTAATACAGTATAATCAGAAGAAACCTTCTATCTAGCAAGGTTAATGATTTGTAATACAGTGTAAGCAGAAGAAACCTTCTAAAGACATAGAATGTTGGATCTCGCCTGCAGGTTCTGAAAACCGTAATTCGTTCATTGATCGATCGGATTTCGTTTAAGGGCACTGGATGAGGAGATGCTCACAAATTCTACTACTGGTGGTGTTTCAATGTAAGTATACCCAAGAGAATTACCTTTTAACACCACATTTGTCACTTTATTTGTTGTGCACCCCGTCAGGATCTTTGTAGGATGCCTTACTTATTCCTGCCTAAAGGATTATTAGTTAATCGAATTTGTGACAGAAAGTTCACAAATCGTCGTGAAAATTTATTCCAAGACAGGCGCGTGAACCAACATCCAACACGATTTATTAGCCTTTAGTTTTTTTCTTTCCGATCTGCGTGTTAATTTCTCTCAAAATACCCACTGACACTTTTCATTCCTTCATTCCAGAAATCCGTTTAAAGGCCAAGTGTTCCATGACTGCATGCACGAAGATGTCTATCAGGGTGTGGTAATTGACTATCGTGGAAAAGTAAGTGCGGTTGTCGGTGCGAATGAATTTGTGCATCAGTTTGCACAAGGTGCAAGTAAAATGACACTGCGAATCAAAACACAATGCAAACCGTAGGGCAGACTAATCATTTTTACTATATTGCAAAATGGTAATTGTATTTGAACAAACATTATTCATTAGGTCATAGGGAGCTGTCAAGCGGCTCATGACCGGTAATACCCGTCTGCTTTTGGCCTATCAAGTGGGCTATCGTTCTTGTCAAAAAAAACATGAAACCTGCACGGCGGCGATCAGTGCACGAATAGTGTTCTCCGAGGAAATATCTTGTGATACCTCGAACGCTGCACCAACCAAACCAAGCAGCGAGTCAGGGAGAGCAAATTCAGCTAGAGAATATCGTAAATTAGACCACCCATTGTGATTCAGTTGAGTGCTGATGAGTGGTACTCACATCAAGATAGCGGCTAATTGTATTACTTAGCTACTGGGGTAATGCTTTCAGGTCGTCCGTGTTCAACTTAGCTGCCAACGCTGGGCTTGGCAAACAGACCAAAAGTTGAATTCTTCAGTTTTCATCATACAGCCACCATCGTGGAAATAACATGAGTGAAGATGGTGAGCAGATCCTAGATTTCAATTATCTATTAGGCTGAAAGTGGAAGGTTACTGGGAATAGAATGAGTGTGGGGAACATTATTGTCGCAGGAATAATTAGCCATGCGTGTTCGTCTGTTTTAGGATGTCACACGGGATAACTTCGTGAAGGTATCAAAAGGCGATGAAAAACTTGCAGCCAATAAGAAGAAGGTGCTGAAATGGTGAGTTTTCCCGGAAGTGGACATTCTTGATGCACTCGCAGATCACAACCAGAATTCTAGTGTTCCAGGTCAAACGTCTGACGAAGTGCGTGTTTAGTATTATCGCAAGTACCTTGCTACGTTATCTGTTTAATTGAAGCTCCTCGAAGTCATTCAAAAAAATTTCACTCACTTTAGGGAAAACACGGTTTTTTTCAATTTCAGACTATGCGTTATTATTATATCATGGGCAAAGGTCAAGTATACACCGTTTGGGATTGCGGCTCAATCCTTAATCACCCACGCTTTGTACGCGTTTCCTGAATAACCCAGCTTCCTTGGGGGCCTGGTATGGATGAATAAATAGATATCCCCATCTCCGGCGAGCCAATTTGATTTAAAAGTTTTTACGATTAATAACCTTCTTCGAGAGTTTCATGTTAGGTGGTGGTCTTCTGTCATTCTACTCCGCTTCAGGGAACTTGGTGCCTCGTTTTCTGTTTGGTCACCATTCCAAAGCAGAGGTCTGGTAGCTGTTCATATATGGCTTACTCTGAGGTTTCGCCAGTCCTGACAATAGCTTGAAGTGTGGAGTTCCCGCATTCACCCTCCCAAAGCACTTTGTTTGAATTACACACATTCCTGGGCTCATCCGCAAAGTAATAATGGGTCTATCAGCACTATATTGACTGTCCCCTCGAGTATGGAGTTTTCATAATAAAAAACGTCGAGCTCGACGGGTGCCCTCTTGATCAAAGACCAGCAATCAGAACCTATCTAGGTCAATTTCGTATAGAATACTTTGGCCTCTTGGGTATTCCGGTTCAAAACGCAGGGTCGGTTGGTTAAACTATTTCCCTCAGAATTGAAGATATTTTCATTCACAGATATAACCATGCTAGTAAGTGTATGATTTCGAAATAGCTGAGCGTAACCGTTCCAATGGAACGACCATAAAACTAACTGGAGTATAAAACTGCCTCCAATCAACTTCAGGCATTCGAAACCGTAGGAGCTACTATACCACGTGATGCAACAATAAAACAGCGGACGTCCAAAATTCGATTTTTCATTCCAGTATTCATGTGGCCTTCCGAAAACGGAACAGTGAAAGTTAAGTTGACTATCGATTGTATCCAGTAGCGTGGGCAAATCAATATTCTGACCGGTGTGTTCGCTATCACCCTATATCTGCGGCTTTTTGCTGTGTTTTATTTGCGCCACCCATTTATCTCCTCTGCAAGACCAACCTAATGTTTTCTGCCCACTTACAGCGGTCCTGATGACAATGTGTTCATCTTCTACTCTGGGCACGGTTTGGTTTCCCGTATTTCCTTGGTGGCAGAAGAAGTGAGTTCAGTAACTTTTGGTAACCACTATTATTTTTCAATAGGAATTTAACTGTAGGACGGCTTGGAGGGGCTTCGGTAAACATATGTTGGCAAAATCGTCAATAGTTTATATAAGCGAGCGTATAGTCAAAGTGGCCTGTACATCAAACGAAAAATGGAACGCAAGCTACGGGATTCGGACGTCTATCTCAAAGCGATATCCTAAGCAATTCAAGTTTTGTAGCCTTTGTCTAGGTGCTTGAATTGTTATCGTCAATATTTCGTTTCACTAAGACTAGGTCGTTCAACTCACATGATTTCGTGGTCGATGCAATTAGACTTCTGAGCAAACGTAGTTACCATAAACAAAGAAGATGACCGTATACGGTCACTCATGACGAACTCGTCAGCTGGTCTTCCTGATAAAACAACATACTCCATTATCCTTTAGAGAAACTGTATGAATCATTGGTAGTACAAAGATGTTTTCCTATTTTCCGTATGGGGAAGCAGTCTGTGTGGAAAACCCGGGAAGCTATGTGCAGCGGTTCCATCCTTATTGGAATTCATCAGCGGTGCGCTTAGAGATTGCAATATTAAACCATTCGGCCACGGGCAGCCAAATTACAGCCTGATTTGTCCGCACTTGATCAGGTCAAAACTCACCCATTATTCAATCAAGGGATCCACACCAGTGATGACTGTCCCCTCGAGTGACATTCTCAAATGAAAAACAATCCATCCGTCGTGTGACTTAGTGTTCTTTTGGAACTACTCACAGTCTGTTTGCAGCGAGATCGCATTTGAGAGTGTTCAGTGCTTTGGAAATCGCGCTGAATTTCGTGAAATTTGATTAGGGCTAAAGCACGCTTCATAGACTGGGAAGTCAGGCAAGTGTTTGAAAACGGCGGTGGAATTGACATTCGGAGTAACATGAAAATCAGTCGTTCGAAGTGGCCATTCATTTTTTGAATTTGTGACTGCTAGCTTATTCACTCCAGTATTTGTCCTTGCGCGCTCTTTCAAGAGAGGTTTACAGTACTGTCAACAGTATAGCTGACCAACACTGCAGGAGACATACTAGCACTCATATACTGGGGTACGAAACACACTTAACATGGTACAAATAGTGACTCCAGGATGACTAAGCAAAACCCATTCAAACGTTGTCCTTCATCTGATTCTGCTAAACAGTATTTTCAAAAAGATCAAATGTCGTTCAACTGGAACACCCATTCGGTGCGTAGCTGTTATTCCGCCTAACAAGGTACGAAGGCGGAGACAGAGATAGATTTCCGAAACCCGGACGGGAACAGTGGAAAATCTGAGGTTGGGTTCAAAATCCTCAGTTCATGCATTTATCCTTGCGCCATTTCCATCTCAAGAGAATTTTGTTCTCGTGTTGCGACAGCTGGATGCCGTGGAGTTTAACGCCATCCTCGCCCACATGTATTAAAAAAAAGTACAACAAATTGGTGCTGTACGTGGAGGCTTGCTATTCTGGTTCTTTGTTTCGAAACATTCTTCCTCGAAATGTGGGAAGTAAGTAGCTTAAAATTTTGGCTGGTAGTCTTGCAGACCCTGAGTAATAGCGCTCAGAATGTACTTCACATATGGTTAAAATACTGCACTTGCCAATACAACAAATCAATTTTCCAAGCTTAGTTCATCATTGTCTTCTTTGTGATCCTTGAAAGGAAGTACTTTCGGCCTCTACTCAACAGCCGTTTAGCCGGAGATTGCACAACATAAAGCCTTCACTGATTGTTATCGCTTCTGTTGATGAACTGGTTGCATTTGGGTGGAGGAAATCATTGTGTAACCCGTAAAATACCTGTGATATTTTGGTGTCCCTGTCCAGCGAGCACCATTGCAGGTGGATACCATCTTTGTAGATTGTGAATGGATCGTGGCAATTTTATCAAATTTACAGTTCAACACATCAAGCACCAGGTTAGGTGCTTGCATGCGATAAAAAACAGTGAATATACATTCACATGCTGATTTTGTTTTTACGAGGGCATCCAACCAAACTGAATGAATTGTCTCGTTCATGAGAGTATTTGGCTAGTCCGTACAGTCTGTGTTCAAGAGACCTTCTGAGAAGTGGGTCAGTTCCAGATTTTATGTAGATTCATAATTTCTGTGAGTCGCATGATCAATCTGCCGATAAGTTACTTCACTATTTTACGCGTATTTGATGTTGACCTATATTATTTTTTGCCTGCAGTCTACGTGACAACGTCAGCCAAGGAAAATGAACAATCCTGGTCCATTTTTTGTGACGAAAAATATTTCGACGTTTGTCTAGCCAGCGAGTACGCATACGCCTGGATCGGAGATTCGCAATACGTGAGTATTAGCAAAACTGCTGCAGATGCGTCCATCAATTGTGGGTGGATAATCCGGTCGTAGTCAGGAGCCATTGGTAGACAACTTGGTACCGTAAGACAGTTAGTTGTTTAGTTTAATCTATAAGCTATAATCTTTTTGTAAATATGAATTTTTGAATAGGCTTGGGGCCAGGTATTTTCTAGAGTCTGCGAATGCAATTAAAATTTGTGAAAAGTAACCCCAAGTTTTTTTTGGTTTCTTGAACTCGTTTGTTATGCCCCGGGCAGATGTGAGATTCTCATCTTATCCCCCACCAGTTTTGCATGTGGATGCTTAAGCTTATTCAGCTGTCATCCTGGTACGGAAAATTTTGCAGGTTGTCGCTTACACTGCGACAAAGTCGTTAACGGTTCCGCCAATGTGAACTTGTCCGCTCGTTCCAAAATTCAACCTGCGAATACAGATCGAACAAAATTGGATGTGGCAACTCCGGTTAAGTTTAACTTGAATCGAGCTGGGCAAAGTTTCTCCGTTGGCCTGCAACCTACACAGCGGTAATTTCCTTCAGTGGTAACGCGCCCTTTGTGAAACCGGTTAGAAATCTTGTTTAGACATTACAGCTCTTAAATGACTACTCACCACTTCCACATCACTAACAGCTCCATCATAAATTTGAGCTTGAAGCATGAACAATATTTATGTGAATTCAGCATTAAAGACCGCCCGGTGACCCCAAAATAAGGCAGGCATTAGTTTGATATCCGAGAAAACTCATTACCTCTGACAGTGAATTGGTAGGAAGAGGTATGCATAGGGGTATTAAAGAGTCTATCAAAAGTCTGGGTGCCGAAGGTGTTCCTCGCCCCTTAGAGGGAGACTGACTGAGTGCCAATGCGTTGGGGTATTTTGTTTGGAAATTTTGCACTTGAATTAACGGTGGTAGAGTTTTTGTTGTCATTTTCGATTCAGATCGCTTGAGTGAGTGCCTAGGGCTGCAGGAGCATCGGAATTTTTATGGTAGTCCAGCACCAATGTTTTCCCCATTCATTTTAAATCTTTTCTTTGGATTAGGACATTAAATGAATTTCCAGTGCGCGCAGGGAATCGTCAGTGTTGAATAAGGATGCTGGTGATGACGTGGGTAATCTTGTTGGTGATGATGGTAACAGTGGACCTCCTGAACGCCATCAACTCAATAAACCTGTCGAAACGATGTTGGTCGGATAGACATTCATTTGGGTTTTCGGTCACCGTCAATCGAGTTTCCATTTTTTTCACATGTCCTGAGTGATCAGAATTGAATGAAATTTGATCGCGACCCTAGCGGACGATACTTTATTCAAAATATGCATCAAGCATTCCAACACAAGTTGGCCGTGCCATGCAGTACGCGTGTTTAGTTACTAGCTGCCGAGAAGGGTGTTGGCTTCCTTGCTCAGTCTGGATTTTCATAAAACTAGAGAAGAAAATAGCTTGACATGACAAAATTTTCAATACTGCTGGTGATTTTCGCCGTTCATAGTGGGGTTAACTTGACCTTCCCATTGCTTGGCTAGAGACACCGAATGATATGTCAACCAAGCGTTGTCATCGGCGTCCATGCTGTTTCATGTTGTTTCCAATCATGTTCCACAATCCTTCCTTTTTCTACTACAAATAAATTGCAATGCATGTACGGCTGTGGAGCATCCGTATTTTCCTCTGCTGTTGCTTCCGATGATGGTGATGATGATGATGATGATGGCGATGATCATTACCATAGAGCATCAAATACCTAGGATGTGTCGTCCTGCAACATCGGAGTGCTTACTAATTAACCAGTAATAGGTGTCGTCGCATACCTCTAGCGATAGCTTCCCGGTTTTGCCTACATCTAAACAATCTTCAAATTGCGTAACCAAATCCGCGTACTTCACGTAGCCTCCCATTTTCATTATATCTCCCTCGCGAGCAGCATGACTTGAAAACGCGTACACTGGATCAACAGTACCAGGAGGTGAGAAAAAGGACATGGCATAGTCACGTGATGAAATACGGTGAGATGGTAAGTCACACGCTGTCATGGAGTAATTTAGTTGAGTTACTTGTGGAAAACCAAACTGTTATGAAAATGAGATGAGAGTTGCATTTCATTATCTTAAAAATGTGGCGGTCAATTTCGAAAGTAGCTGATTTCAGATTCCATGGTCGACGTTCAGCAAGGTTGCCAGTCCTCGCATATAGATACTTAATCCTTGCTGGTGTCATTCTCCGGATAACCAAGCAATGACGTCGGTACTTTATGATACATACGTTCCTGTGCTATGGTACAAACAAAAGTCAAATCTTTATGAATCAACCACAAGTACTGACACGATGACTGAAACTTACGCCTGAAAATTTAAAACTCAAGGAGCTAGTCAATACGTTGTCAGGTGATGTTATTTTTCGCATTGTGCTGTCTAAAGCGAATCACATGCAGCTATGTCACTTGTGGCTGAAAGTTTATAAATTCTCTACTGGAGTGAAATGCGCACTTCTTCTGACTCCCGATAAAGGGATACACCTATTCAGAGCTTCTCGGATATTCAGCATAGATTTGCCTCATTGAATGGCTGTATATCCATTCAAACAAGACGTTCTGCTGCGCAGCATTAATTGGAAGTATAAAATAACATGGGTACAGGCGACCGATAGAAGCACGTATGGGAATCATCGTAATGCGATTCAAGTAGAAACTATACCATGTTACGATGCCGTTATTGAACTAGCCAGCTGCGTTACGTGATCCAGACACATGCCTAACCAAGTGCAAATTCGAAACACACTTCGATATGTCGGATACTGCGCATCGGGCCAATTCGCAGAAATTTAGTCAATGGAGTTTCGAACTTCGTCATGGACCTGATAGGTGTCTGTTTATTGTTTATTTCAGGCGATAGGAAGTCTCCTTGTTGGACAATTCCAAGGTCATTATGATCTACCTAATCACCGGAATGACGGGACAATACCAGTATGTGCTCAGCGCCATGTTCGATATTTGTCCGAAGAACCAAGTAGCCAATTCATATTCCAATGGCTTTCTAAAAAAGTTGTCACTTCAGAGGAAGAATCCCCTTTCAATCACACTTAAAATCGCCAAAGAGTGCTAATTTAGGACGCACTCAATAACCTCAATTGAATGGTTGTCTTTTGGTGTAAACAAATAAACAACAACGTTCATCTGAGAGGCCCTTCCCTGTGGTTTGCTACATATAACTCAAAAGATTGATAAGTAAGTACAAACATCCATAGAAAAATTGATAAATTGGTGGACGGAAAGATGTGGAGATAAGATAGTAGATTAGATAGATAGATAGATAGATAGATAGATAGATAGATAGATAGATAGATAGATAGATAGATAGATAGATAGATAGATAGAAGATAGATAGATAGATAGATAGAGAGATGGTTGGATAGATAGCCAGATAGATGGATGGATGGATAGATAGTGAGCTAGATAGTTAGACAGATGGATTGATAGATCGGTATGTAGATATTCAGACAGACAGACGACCAGACAGATAGATGGATGATTAGTGATCAATTTACATAAATACACCGGACCGTATATCACACTCATGGAGCGTTTGTTGGTTACATGTAGCTGGTCAGTGATAATCGAGCTGATGTGAAAAGCCTATCACTCCAAAGGTCAAGCGTTTCACCGATTAAAATTATTCGTGAATTTCATGTTATGCCCTTCGACCGAACATGGCATTTACTACTATCCATTATCAGATGCTGAAATCAAGGTGCTACCTATTTCTGCAAAAAGGCGTTGATTGGATGTGATTACGTCATAAAACAACACACGATAGTTGAGATCCCGTTTCTACTTACCCATGTAGCTGGTCAGTGATAATCGAGCTGATGTAAAAAGCCTATCACTCCAAAGATCAAGCGTTTCACCGATTAATATTATTCGTGAATTTCATGTTATGCCCTTCGACCGAACATGGCATTTACTACTATCCATTATCAGATGCTGAAATCAAGGTGCTACCTATTTCTGCAAAAAGGCGTTGATTGGATGTGATTACGTCATAAAACAACACACGATAGTTGAGATCCCGTTTCTACTTACCTCAACATGACATACAGGCGACTGAATTTCCGCGACAATTGGCGCAACCCTGGCAACCGAGTATAATTATGTAGTTTCTTCTTAATAGTGAGTGGTCCCGGAAGACAATTCGTCCAGTCAGGACATTCAGAGCTCCTGATAATCGAGCTGATGTAAAAAGCCTATCACTCCAAAGATCAAGCGTTTCACCGATTAATATTATTCGTGAATTTCATGTTATGCCCTTCGACCGAACATGGCATTTACTACTATCCATTATCAGATGCTGAAATCAAGGTGCTACCTATTTCTGCAAAAAGGCGTTGATTGGATGTGATTACGTCATAAAACAACACACGATAGTTGAGATCCCGTTTCTACTTACCTCAACATGACATACAGGCGACTGAATTTCCGCGACAATTGGCGCAACCCTGGCAACCGAGTATAATTATGTAGTTTCTTCTTAATAGTGAGTGGTCCCGGAAGACAATTCGTCCAGTCAGCACTTTCAGAGCTCCTGTTTATCTCAAATGTCCCCCAATTTTTTTTCTTCCCAGGCGAATGCGGTAGATAGGAAACCCTCTTTCCAGGCGCATTTGTTTTCAAAGTCTCGACGCTTAATGGAGGCAACAATGGAGCAAGAACACGAAACCGCTTGGCGGAAGCTGCACCGTGCAATTCAGGTTTGTATTTTGTTTTTCTTATTCCACTGATCGCCAACTAAAAACTGAAAGCACGACGAAAGTTGACTTTAGGTAAGACTCAAGTTGTGTAGTAGAGAATGTCTTGCGAAAACATGGGAGCAAATAAACCGTAATCAGTGCTGCATTTCAACGGTCGTTTCATGGTGCGACCCAATAATCCAACGTGGTTCGTTTGATGTGCTAGAAGCCTCCTATGGTCTACCCAAAATCCCCCATAACCATTCTTCCCGCTTCTTTCAGCTTGGCCAAATCGTCAAGGAAACGACTCGCGACATCGTCGTCTACGTGACGTCCCACCATAAGCCAACTCTGGATGGCTTGTCTAAAAGGGATGAGCTCATGTGTTTTCGGGCAGTTTTCGATCAATTCCGGACGCATTGCTTCACAATTCAGCAGGTGAGTTGGCCCCCTGAGTTACGGAAACAGGGATTGCATACGTCACTGGCAAATGCATTCACCCTGGCGACACGCATCTCGAGCCTCAGTCTCAAAACTACGTCCAGAGAAACCGCTCGCAGACGACCTTTACGGTAGGAAATTTTGGGGCAACTCCGGTACCCACATCACTAGCATGTTCTCTCTGTTCTTGAAGTTTCGAACCACGTTGGCGTTCCTGGAAAGGCAGAACCCCCCGATTGGAAGTGACACGGGTCAGTCTAAATGAGAGTGTTCCTCGTTCTAGAATGACCCGCGATTTCAATGCTGCTAAGGAATATAGTGAAGCAAGATTTGACCAGCAAGTTGGCTGAAATTGTTGTTTGAAGAATGTTTGCCGATCAAATTGGCGCTCACCTAACAGAATGCTGGAACCACCGGTGCAGTATAAGAGTAGAAACGCAAGCCCAGTATGATAACCACAGCTAAATACCTCGGATCAGTTCATATGAAACCTGCTGTTTCACTTTCATTTTGTGTCGTGGTTCGACTGTTTTGGCAATCATTTTAACGGTCCGTTGACTCAATCTCTTGTTATGCTATATACGCAAGTAGAAATCCGGCCCTTCTCATAAACGAGACCAGCATTGTTACAGAAAATCTTACGATGTTACCTGTAAGTATTTTACTCGAAAGTCTACGGATGCCCGATGCTAGCGATGTGTTACTTACCAAGGTCCGACCCTCTGGACTGATGGTACTATGCTCTTTTACACGTTTTCCTAGATGATTAATTCTACGAGTAATTTCAGTATTTAAAATTGAATGAGGACAAACACGCAGCAACAAACTTCATTAAGGTAACATCTCTCCGAGGAGCATACCACATGACTAGAGATTCCAGAAATCGTTCAACATCTTCAATAACGGCATCGTAACACTGTTGGTTCTCTCCGCTTATGAAGCCTTTTCTATCTGGTGTAACATTTGCCTTTTTAAAACAAACCGAAGGTTTATTAAAGGAACTTGCTTTTGGTTGGTTGTTATCCACTATCCTCATCCGGAGCAATCGATCCCATAAATGGCTGGATTAATCATCGTTGAATCAGGTGTTTCTTTTCGTACACAGTTTATTCTAACTTGAGTGTTCACCGGAGATTCCTTGAATCTTGAAACACGCCTGACTTACGGATAAACTTCAACAACAAAATTGCCGACCATTATTACAACGGAACGGTAATTGGGAACATGAGAAAACCTGAGGTAGTACTTGCTGTGGGCGTTTGTGGAACCAAAAAAAACATTCTGAACGGAGGATGCCCAATGAAAAGCACAGGCGTTCGACTCGTTCGTCTGATTTAATACGATTTGATCTAATGGCGGTGGATGGTTAAACGAAGAGAGCACCATGTAGGAATAACTAACTTGTAAAGCTTCAGTGGACTATCAACAAAACACCCCCCTCCAATTTGGTCTCAATTAGAACACGATTTTGACGGAAATTCTGGAATGGTGACTGCCTGATTAGTCCCAAGAAGGGCAAAACCGGACATAGATTTACTACGTATTTTGTTTCCTAGAGTTCACAGATTTTGAATCATCTGCTACTTAACTAAAGCATTTTGCGTGGTCTAAGCTGGCATCATGGGAGTGTATAACAAAGCACTTCGAAATGTCTAGGATTCAGATTTGCTGAACCTCACCAAACAATCACTGACCCATTATCCACTTGATAGTCGGTGTGCCTCACTGACAATCTTCCACACTGTTCAGCAAAATGACTGCTTTCCCTAAAATGCTGAACTCTGTTCGTGAACTTTAGGATCAGTCTTGCGTGAACGCAATTTCTTGATCGCTTGAAAGCATTCTTAGTGACTGTCACAAACCTGTGCTCGACATGTGGGATTCCCAGCTACTCCTGTGCGCTGTGAAGCTTCAGTTTTCCTAACTGAGATCCTGTAATCTGTTTTCAGGTCCGCGAGGTAGCCCAGCACACAACTCATTTAATGGCACTATGCAAAGCCGGATACAAGGCTGAAACCCTCATTTACTCTGTCTACAACGTCTGCTCCTAACGGGCACGCGCCCCGTTTTGTCAGCTTGCCAAAATAAAATGAATTGCTGCTAGTCACTATCGTGTTTTGCCATCCCCACGAAACATGGGTTGTATTTTCCCATCAACTAAGCCACCCATAAATCATACGGTTAAGAAACCGAAAGCGTTCAGACAAAACCGTCCGGATTCTCAGGCCTTGTGAAATCATCAAGACGCCTCCACAAATCTGACGCATTATTACAAGATAGATGCACAGTACGACCAAAAATAATCCATGTGGCCGACCCAAGTAAGAGAGTTATTGTGTCGTCTGTGGACTCAAACAAACTGCTCAAATTTCAATTTTAATGTTTCAGTGGTTTAAAACTTCATCGGACACTCATTTGAGGATGTTAAGTAGGCGTTTTGGCGTTTGTTCTCTTACGAATTGGTACATATGATTTTGTTGTATCATGTTCACCAACTGGCTGATGTTCATGCGCTTGGTTCGGGACGGGACCGACACCATGCCATATGCATCTTGTCCAGAATCATTATCCATTTACCTAAAGAAGATTTGCATACAACCGATGTGCAGTACCGCATAGAAATCGGCACAACGGAAAGACCGATCACCAGGGGATGAAGAATAAAGGCTTAGGAACCAACCAATAGAACGCCGTGCGACACAAAGGGCCGAATGAGCACACGGTTGATACAAAAAACAATCTGTGTGACTTTTGATGAGATGACCTGTTCGCCATAAAACTGCGGAAAAAGCTTCAGTAACTCATTAGGAATCTCACCTTTCGGGGTTACATTAGAAAGGCGTACAACGTGATGCTAAAGTGAAACAATTTTGATAGGAAACCCTATCACACATGTATCAGGGGCCACAAGGAACTCACCGATTTGGGTAGACAATATATTTACATATTTGCGTGCGAGTGCAAAAGTTACAAAGGCCCCGCGCTATTTCATGGCCTTCTGTGCCATTAACCCGGGCACACTGATGTCGTTTAGTGAACACCAGCAACATCGATAGTGCTTCTGTGAGGTGCTTATCATATTCGGTCGTGCTTCTGTGGCTCCCATAATGACTCAATGGACTTTGCTGAGCTGGTTGAATGATAGACTGGCCCGGATGGTTGCTGGATTTCCTATTCAGATTTTGATGGTGTTTTAGGGTCGCAGTGGGTTCCGACAAATCTAAGGTTACCTTCAGGAATCGGGCATTCCTGATAGATACAAATACTCTCATTTGCACGTTAACTACGTGATATCGGGTGACTCCTCTGTACCCAAATAATTATTTCGTGTTTACTGGTCTCTATAAGCTGGATTGTAAATTACACTGCTGTTCAGAATTCTGGTCAGTGACGAGTTAATTCATCTCTCACGGTGCGCAAACTACTCGTGGTCTTAGTTGTGTCCCAAGGATAAATCACCTAAGCGTTGCTGCTCCCGAGGTTAGTCGGAACACCGTATGAAGGAATATGGTGTTTGACAAAATCGAAATTCCCGGGATTAGCTAAATATCAATTGGCTTTTTTTCCATAGGCTGCAGGCTAACTAAAGTAAATGATGTCTTTGGTTTTCCGCTATACGAGATATAAGATTGAGCAACTCGCAAGGAACTCAGCCCATCATGTTTCGCCCGGACTGGTCGTGTTAAGAAAACGACACAACTGAATTACGCACAACGGTACAGCCCTCACCATGCAAAGGATTTCATTTTAAAACGGAAACCATAGAAAAACTATCCGATGCCTCCTACTGGAGTGAGCGTTTATCCCTATAGAGCCCGAAATAGCTTGGTGTTGAAGGCGCGAACTTACTGGCTGGAGGTTCCGCGCTTCTGGCTCAACCGTGGAATTTCGGCTGCCCTGTTCTGAATTTAGGAATACCTCAACACTCGTGCCATTTTAAGTACAGTACAGCTCCTGAATGAATGATTGATAATAATTTTTTTTATTACACGTGAACGCTAGCTTTTATGAGGAATTGCTCAAAAACTATGGGGAAGTGACATTTTCGTGGAT